ATGGTGAAACCTCATCTTTACTAAAAATACAAAAATGAGCTGGGTGTGATGGTGGGCATCTGTAATCCCAGCTACTTGGGAGGCTGAGTCAGGAGAATTGCTTGAACCCAGGAGGTGGAGGTTGCAGTGAGGGTGAGATCACGCCACTTGCACTCCAGCCTGGGCAACAGAGTGAGACTCTGTCTCAAAAAAAAAGAATCTAGAGTTTGTGGCAAATGTAAGACTTGTAAAGCCAATGAGAAAAATGTCTTTCTTTAATAAAGCAATAATATCGTTTGTTGAACAAGGCAAGTTTAATGTCAAAGTCTGCATCTATAGGAATATTTCTTTTTTTTTTTTTTCCAAGACAGAGCCTCACTCTGTCACCCAGGCTGAAGTGCAGTGGCATGATTTTGGCTCACTGCACCTCCTCCTCCCAGGTTCAAGCAATTCTTGTGCCTCAGCCTCCCCAGTAGCTGGGATTACAGCCATGTACCACTACACCCAGCTAATTTTTTATATTTTGGTAGAAACGGAGTTTCGGCCGGGCGCGGTGGCTCAAGCCTGTAATCCCAGCACTTTGGGAGGCCGAGATGGGTGGATCACGAGGTCAGGAGATCGAGACCATCCTGGCTAACACGGTGAAACCCCATCTCTACTAAAAATACAAAAAAATTAGCCGGGCGTGGTGGCAGGCGCCTGTAGTCCCAGCTACTCGGGAGGCTGAGGCAGGAGAATGGCGTGAACCCAGGAGGCGGAGCTTGCAGTGAGCCGAGATAGTGCCACTGCACTCCAGCCTGGGCGACAGAGCAAGACTCCGCCTCAAAAAAAAAAAAAAAAAAAAAAGAAACGGAGTTTCACCACGTTGCCCAGGCTGGTCTCGAACTACACCTGAGCTCAGGCAGTCTGCCGGCCTCGGCCTCATAGAATGCTAGGATTACAGGCGTGAGCCACGGCACCTGACCAGGAATGGTTTTTAAGTTTAGTGAACCTAAAGACCACCTGGTGATGTTTGTTAATCATGTAGATTCCTGGACCCATCCCAAGATATTGAAATTCAGTAAGTCTGGTATGGCACTAAGATATCTGCACTTTTGTAAGTAGGTAGTCACTGCCTCAGTTGTATCAAGGTAAAAGAAAGTTTGGGCCGGGTGTGGTGGCTCATGTCATTAATCCCAGCCTTTAGGAGGCCAAGGTGGGAGGATTGCTTGAGCCAGGGAGTTTGAGAGCAGCCCGGGCAACATAGCAAAACTCTGTCTCTACAAAGAATAAAAAAAATTAGCTCTGCATGGTGGCACACACCTGTAGTCTCAGCTACTGGGAAGGCTGAGGTGGGAGGATTGATTGAGTCCAGGAAGTTGAGGCTGTAGTAGCTGTGATTATGCCTCTGCACTCCAGCCTGGGTGACAGAACTGGATCCTTTCTCAAAACAAAAAAAAAAAAGATAAGAAAGTCTACAGACGGGAAATGACCACTAATTTAAACTTCCTTCTCTTTCTTTCCTTTTTTTTTTTTTTTTGAGATGGAGTTTTGCCCTGTCACCAGGCTGGAGTGCAGTGGCGCGATCTTGGCTCACTGCAACCTCTGGCTCCCAGGTTCAAGTGATTCTCCTGCCTCAGCCTCCAGTAGCTGGGACTACAGGCGTGTGCTACCACTCCCAGCTAATTTTTGTGTTTTTAGTAGAGACAAGGTTTTACCATGTTGGCCAGGCTGGTCTCGAACTCCTGATCTCATGACCCGCCCGCATCGACCTTCCAAAGTGCTGGGATTACAGACATGAGCCACCGTGCCCGGCCCTCCTCTTTCATTTATGCAAATATGTACTAGCTTTAGATAAAAGAAATATATAACCTGTGTGTACATTTTTACATATATTTTTCAGTCTGTAGGACTATATGGGACATACCCTTAAGCAAGTAGCAGATGCCAGGCTGATCAGCACCTGATGTTAAGCGTGTGACTGTGTTTTGTCATAATTATTTATTCACATGTCTTTGTGTCCCAGCACCCTGCACAGTCTCTCAAACAGATTATACTTTGAAAACCCTTTTGAATGATCTATGGGAAAGTAGGTTTTCTTAATAGCAATTCTGTACTCCTTTGTGGTTCTGTGTAGAAAAGTAGTACGGGTGATTATATGGGCCTGGAGTGGTCTTTGTGTTGTAGTCTTTGATATACTTCATATCATGCTTGGGTATCTTTATTATTTAAGGATTAAAATATCATACATGACACATGATTATATTCATTGCTTGAGACTCAGTATAAATTGCCTGTGGTATCTGTATACAGAATTTGATAATAGTTCCTTTAGGTTGGGGTTAGCTTAAAATTTACCATGTTTTTATCTATGAGCCAAGATTTGTTTGGCATAACGGAAACTAACGCTTTAAATCTCTTTTTAAACCACTTTTATCAACAACTCTTGGCATGGTAATATATGTGTTAATTATATATTCATATTTACTTCATAAAATAAATCTGACTCAACCTCTTACTTTGTTAGCTGTTAATATATGTACATGAAAATTTTAAATGTTAGATTTTCATTTTTAATTTGGGGAGATGTACAATATAGCTATATTAAAGAAAAATTTGAAACTTAGATCACTTACTATCCTTTCATCTTTGTATAAAAACTACATTTCCAAAAAGAATTTATATTTCATTATAACCCATGTTTCCTTATTTCCTAATATAATTATGAAAATAAAGGTTTTATAATTTAAAATCTTTTGTTATTTCAGACCATATGGAAGAGACTTTTAAAGTATGCTATATTGTTTGTTTGAATTTTCAGTGTCTGTTAATCCTTAGAAGTCAAGTGACTATTAAAGACAGTGGTATTGGCTGGGCCCAGTGCAGTAGTGTTTATAACCAGTTACAGATTTCTTTGTTTCTTCTCCGCTATCACTGTTTCACTTGACTAGCCTTAAAAAAAAGTACCTATTAAAATAAAATTGAGCAGGTTTTACTCCTCCCCATTAAAACAAACAAAAGTGACTTTAGAGAACTTATTTTTGTTTAAAAGGGGGCTTTATTTTTTTCTAGGTGATTAATTATCAAATGTTAGAAATACTGCTTTGTCAGCTGTTAATGAGGGGAAAAAAGCAAAAACTATTTTTAGAAACCCCATTTATTAAGCATATTGCATGTGTGAGCACATAGTCACATGTCATAGATATTCTATGGCAGTTGTAGATGTGCTAATGGCAGCAGAGCAATTTCCCTAGTTACAATTCTGTCTATTATGAGAACATATCAGGTAATTGTTGCCTTTTCTTTTTTTTTGAGATGGGATCTTGCTCTTTTGGCCAGGCTGGAGTTCGGTGGTGCAAATACAGCTCGCTGCACCCTAGACCTCCTGTGCTCAAGCAGTCCCCCAACCCCGGTAGCTGGGACTATGCCCTGCTGATTTTTAAAAAATTTTTAGTAGAGTCGAGATCTTGCTGTGTTTTCCAGCCTGGTCTCAAACTCCTGGGCTTCAAGTGATTCTCGGCCTCCCAAAGTGTGGAGATTACAGGTGGGAGCCAGGCCCAATTGTTGTCTTTTCAGTGTTGCTATGTGTGCTAAAGTGATGTTAATTTTTTTTGCTTCACTAATCTACTTGAATAAAATGTTAGAAAAAAAAGAAAACCTTTATAAACACTTCTAGTAACCATGTTAGAGATTTGACATGCTCTCAAAGAGAGCTTTCTAGCCTGCAGTGATTACCAGAAAAAGACATTTTTATAAGGGGATTTTTTTTTTTTTAATTTAAAGAGTATATAGTTGCAAAATGTTTTAGCAAACTGTAACTTTTGACCAATGTGTTAGCACTTTCAGTATTTTATTTTGCTTTTGGTTATTTTTTTCTTTGAATTGTATTTCACTCTGGTGATCCAACAGCAAGCTTTTCTAGCTTTTTTTTTCTTTCTTTTTCTTTTTTCTTTTTTTTTTTTTTTTTGAGATGAAGTCTTACTCTGTCACCTGGGCTGGAGTGCAATGGCACGATCTCGGCTCACTGCAACCTCTGCCTCTCGGGTTTAAGCGATTCTCCTGCCTCAGCCCCCTGAATAGCTGGGATTATCGGCATGTGCCACTATGCCCTGCTAATTTCTAACGTCTCACTTAATATATATGTGATATCTTTGTTTTTGCATATTGGCTTTTGGAGATGTCTTAATTTTTGTTTAGAAAATCAAATGATCTTATGACATTTTAAAGAAACATTGTGAGCCCTGACCAGTATTTGTAACTGGAATAATCTTCAAAATGCTCCTGTCAGATTTGTATTTGCTATACTGATTTTTTTAGGCTGGTTAGGATCATTTTGAAAGTGCTTGTAATAAATGCCTCTACCTACATAACCTCAGTTTTTCTCAGAGTCTAGACAAGCCTTATAAAAATAGACATTAGTTTCCAAACTCAGATCAAATGTAAGTGCTGTCAGACTGCAAGGTCCGTGGATCTGTCGATGTTTATTTTGCCCCTTGCTCTATAGAAAGCTCCATGTGTTGAAATTTTAACTAGTTTTAGAGTCATCTCAATAAAGATGAATTAGTTGTATCCTGATATGAATGTATATTTTTTTTAGGTTCTTAAATGTAGTTAGTGGCTGCTCATAAAAATCTGAATATTATTTAGGCATTGGTTTGTGTGGTGGTGGCTTTGTCTGCACAGCCCTGTATAAAATTACCTCATAATATCTATTTACAGGTTCAGAAACTAACTCTGAGTCTGAAGGTCTCATTGTACTCTTTTTTCTTGAATAAACAGAAGCTACCTATAAAGTGTTGTATATTATTAGGATTTATTGCCTAACACAATTACTCCAGCAGGCTAGCCTCTCAAGAAATTCCTATAAAGATGGCCTTTTTTTATAGGATTGTAAAGTGGATTTAAATAGTTTGAAAAAATATATATTCCTAACTGCCATGTAGTTTCTTAATACCAATCTCACATTCTTAACTTTGTATTTCTCATCACTGAGAAGGTGAGGTGGCCTTTGTTACATTTATTCTTTTTTTCTCTTTCAACAGGGGAAAGTGCAGTGTTGCCCTTCTGAATGAGACAGAATCAGTATTGTCATATCTTGATAAAGAGGTAATTCACAATCATACTTGTTTTGTTTTTTTCCCCCTTTATTTCACATGAAGCTCTTTCCTTGGAATTTATTTCTTTTTGTACAAAAGTATTATTCTACCATCATATTAATAGCAGTATTATGGTAAAACTGTAATGACTAGAATGCATTTGGGTAAATTTGATTTTTCTGGTTATCTGAGATAAGGGTTAGCAAAAACTTCTGTGTCTGTTTTTCAGTTGGTAATGAAAGACATTATAGAGAATGGTACATGGATTTAGTTGATAGTGGATGAATATTTTTGACTTTATGAAATTAATGCTTTAGTGTGCTTAGCTCCCCTTTATGTTTTGTTTTTGTTTTTATTTCTTGAATAAATGGTTTTTCTTTTAGACTCTTTCCAGATGAGATTTTACCATTGGTGGTCTGCTTTCTGGAATCCTAATAAATGTTGTCAGTTAAAAATATTTTTTACTAAACTTTAACAAGAAATGTAGTTAACAAGTTGAGATAAAGCATACGCTTCATTGAAAGGAGGAAATTCTTATAAGCACAATATTTCATGGTATGCATAGTTTTAGGTGACATTTAAAGCAATGTTATTTGTATGGTGGGAAACATATTTTAGTGTCAGTGATGCTTCAGTATTTAATCTTTCTGATTTTTTTCCTCTCCCCCAAAAGCTTTATTACATATGTGTATGTTTTATTTTTTGGAGACAGAGTCTCGCTCTGTCCCCCAGTCTGGAATGCAGTGATGTGATCTTGGCCCACTGCAACCTCCGCCTCTCAGGTTCAAGCAATTCTTATGCTTCAGCCTCCTAAGTAGCTGGGATCACAGGTGCCTGCTGTCATACCCGGCTGATTTTTGTGTTTTTGGTAGAGATGGAGTTTTGCCATGTTTGCTAGGCTGGTCTTGAACTCCTGGCCTCAGGTGATCTACCTTCCTCAGCCTCCCAAAGTGCTGGGATCAGAGGCATGAGCCACTGTGCCTGGCCTGTTTTTTTTTTCTTTTTAAATCTTAAACTCAAATGTTGCTCATTTATTTCAAGTGAAGAAAATATAACAGAAAAAGTTTGATACAATCATGCAGAACCTACTATACATTAGAAAACCTAATAGGAAATAAGAAAACTAACAGGAAAATACATATTCAAAGCAGAAAAAAGGCTTATAGACTTTATAACTTACCTCTGTAAAATTTAGATGATAGAGTTGTCATTAGTCTGTCCAACAGAATGGATTATAGTATGGATAATGATAAGTGCCCAGAAATTAGCATTATTTCACAGAAGCAGAAAGAAAAAGGCAAAATATTCAATGCATTTCATTGTATTAAATTTTTTTTTTTGGCTGGACGCGGAGGCTCACACATGTAATCCCAGCACTTTGGGAGGCCGAGGCGGGCAGATCATGAGAGCAGGAGTTTGAGACCAGCCTGACCAACATGGTGAAACCCTGTCTATACTAAAAATACAAAAATTAGCCAGGCCGTACAAAAATTAACCGGGCGTGGTGACACATGCCTGGAATCCCAGCACTTTGAGAGGCCAAGGCGGGTGGATCATTTGAGGTCAGGAGTTCAAGACCCGCCTGGCCAACACGGCAAAACCCCGTCTCTACTAAACGTACAAAAATTAGTCAGGAGATAGTGGTGCATTCCTGTAATCCCAGCTACTCGCAAGGCTGAGGCAAGAGAATTGCTTGAGCCTGGGATGTGGAAGTTGTGGTGAGCCGAGATCGCGCTACTGCACCTCCAGTCTGGGTGACAGAGTGAGACCCTATCTAAAAAAAAATAAAAAATAGACATTGGAGAAGGGTGAGGATTGAAAAATTACCTATTGGGTACAGTGTTCACTATTGATGGGTACAGTAAAAGCCCAGACTTTACCATGACACAATGTATGCATATAAGAACTCTGTACTTTTACCCCCTAAATATATAAACACTTAAAAATAAAATATTGAGATTGGCATAGTTGAAGATGGTAACCCAAAGAATAACTTTATCATCCTTTACTTTTAACTCTGTGTTCTTGAAATTGGCCTGTCTGGAACCGTTTCTTCTTCTTCTTCTTTTTTTTTTTTTTTTTACAACTTCTATTATAAACCAAACATATTTTGAATATTTTCCCATATCAGGACATACAAATCTAAGGATTTTAAGCAACTTATATGACCCAAATAATCATTTCATCTTATTATATTGTAGAGTATGGCAAGCTCCTGTTTTTATTGGAGTAGCATGTTAATAGGTTTTACAGATAACAAGTGACCTGAAGTATCTCTGCTTTTATTTATTTATTTATTTTTGAGACGGAGTTTTGCTCTTGTTGCCCAGGCCAGAGTGCAATGGTGCGATCTCCGGCTCACCACAACCTCCGCCTCCCAGGTTCAAGCCGTTCTTCTGCCTCAGCCTCCCGAGTATCTGGGATTACAGGCATGTGCCACCAAACCTGGCTAATATTGTATTTTTAGTAGAGATGGGGTTTCTCCATGTTGGTCAGGGTGGTCTTGAACTCCCAACCTCAGGTCATCCGCCCGCCTCAGCCTCCTAAAGTGCTGGGTTTACAGGCGTGAGCCCCCACGCCCGGCATATCTCTGCTTTTAAATCTGATGGTGGCTGCGTGTGGGGGCTCATGTCTGTGATCCCAGCACTTTGGGAGGCTGAGGCAGGAGGATTGCTTGAGCCCAGGAGTTTGAGACCAGCCTGGACAACATAGTGAGTGCTCATCTCTATTAATGAAATAGAAAAAAAAATCTGATGGTGAGCCAGTGGCAATAACTTCAGTTACTGAGTAATATTTATTACTCATGTCTTTAAAGCAAAACAAAAAATAAAACACTTCTGATTACATAGTGACCATCCCCTGTAGCTTTGTTAAGTTTTTTGTTGTTGTTGTTGTTTTTTGAGACAAAGTCTCACTCTTGTCCCCCAGGCTGGAGTGCAATGGTGCAATCTCGGCTCTCTGCAACCTCCGCCTCCTGGGTTCAAGCGATTCTCCTGCCTCAGCCTCCTAAGTAGCTGGGATTACAGGTGCCTGCCACCATGCCCAGCTAATTTTTCTATTTTTAGTAGAGACAGGGTTTCACCATGTTGGCCAGGCTAGTCTCGAACTCCTGACCTCAGGTGATCTGCCCACCTCAGCCTCCCAAAGTGCTGGGATTATAGGCATGAGCCACCGCGCCTGGCGTAAGCTGGTTGTTTTATCTATTCCTGCAGATTTTTTCTTTTCCTTAGATAGCACTTTAACAATATGCATAAATTGTTACGTATTGGTGTCCCCCCCGGCTTTTTGTTTTTTTTTTTTTTAACAGTTTTTTTGTTTAAATCTTTTTTCCTGACAGTGAGCAATGAATAAAATACAGCACAGAATTTCTCAGTGGATGGAATAACTCTGTTTTTTTCCCTTTCCCCTTATCACAGTATGTAAGAGGTCCCACAGGAGAGACTTATACTGTCTGACAGATTATCTTTTATTTGCAGTTTCCTTGGCTGGGGCTTGGTAAATTTCTGGTAGTAGGGACAGGTCCTTCCAGGATATAATACAGAGAATTGGGCAGCAGATGATCTTTGGGATCATAGTGGGAAGCAGAAGACGGGACTTTGCTGGTTCAGATAATCTCTAGTGGTTATATGGAATTCAACAAAGGACTGGTGCCAGGTCATTTTGCCCATTAGGCTCAGAAACAAGGACATACGAGCTTTGTAAGGGAGGACCGGAAATTTTGGTGTGTATGCTGCTGGTGAGCATGTATATAGCTATGTTTGTATATCTGTCTATATATACAGACGCATGCCTCAGTACTTAAAGAACTGCAGAATTATAGTTAATACATGTTTAATTAAATATTTACAAAGTGATATTATTATAACAGTAAACCACATACAAGTTCAACTCATGTATAGTTTAATGTGAGATATGTATACCTTTTAATCTTTTGACTAAAAATTGGGATGAACATTACAAAAGAGTACCTGGTATCTGTGAAGTCTTCCCTTCTGTTTGGTGTGGACTTCAGAAGTTTATAAGATGATTTGACTTTAGGTGTCTTACCTTGGAGTTATGGTTTAATTTTGCTAGCTTTTGAAACTCTGCTTTAGAGAGCAAATGGTTTTCTTTTAGACTAAAACAAATAATAGAACTTTATAATCTACTTTGTTTCAAGCTGTTTCTTTTGGCTCGATTTAATTTTGTACTGTTTTACATGATGACAGTAACACCATGCTCTCCTTAAAGATTTATGAGTTTATTCACCAAAATGAAATTTTATATACTCTCTGGGGTTTATGTGTTCATTATAGTGACATTGATTTTAATGCTTTATAAAAAGTAGAAGGAATTAAGTATACTTACATATTTTGTCATATTTTTCAGGATACCTTCTTCTACTCATTGGTCTATGACCCCTCATTGAAAACGCTATTAGCTGACAAAGGTGAAATCAGAGTGGGACCTAGATATCAGGCAGACATTCCAGAAATGCTGTTAGAAGGTATGTTTTTCTGCATGTTTGCAGTTCTGTGAAACAAATGTATCTTGAAACTCAAATATACATGTCCTCATGTGGAAGAAGCAATGTTCAGGGCAAAGTCTAAAAGTTATCAGCACTTGCAATTTTACTGTTCTTTGTGAAAAATAATGAATAAATAAATAGAGATGAGGCCTTTCTATGTTTCCCAGGCTGGTCTTGATCTCCTGGCCTCAAACAATCCTCCCACCTCAGCCTCTCAAAAGGGATGCTATTATAGGTGTGGCCTGGCCAGCACTTCCAATTTTAGAAGTACAAAATTAGCTCATTTTAATGTACTTTGTTTTTGCTGTGCTTCATATATATCTAGCTTTTTAAAAAACTGAAGGTTTGTGGCAACCCTGTTGAGCAAGTCCTTTGGTGCCATTTTTCCAACAGGACAGTGTCTCTGTGTCAAATTGTGGTAATTCTTGCAACATTTCAAACCTTTTCATTATTATCTGTTATGGTGATCTGTGATCAATGATCTTTGATGTAACTGTTGTAATTGTTTTGGGGCCATGAACTGTATCCATATGAGAGGACAAACTGAACTGATAAATGCTGTGTATTCTGAGTGCTCCACCAACTGTCTTTCTCTCTCCTGGGGTCTCCCTATTTTACAAGTCACAGCAATATTGAACTTAAGCCAGTTAACAACCCTGCAGTGGCCTGTAAGTGTTCAAGTGAAAGGAAGAGTAGCATATCTCTCACTTTAAATCAAAAGCAAGAAATGAAGCTAGTGAGGAAGGCGTGTCAGAAGCCAAGACAGGCCAAAAGCCAGGCCTCTTCCCCCAGTTAGTCAAGTTGTGAATGCAAAGGAAAAGTTCTTGAAGGAAATTAAAACTGCTACTCCACACTCCAGCCTGGGCGACAGAGCAAGACTCTGTCTCAAAAAAAAAAAAAAAACAAAAAAAAACAAAAAAGCTACACCAGTGAACACATGAATGATAAGAAAGCAAAACAGGCTGGGCGCAGTGGCTCGCGCCTTTAATCCCAGCAGTTTGGGATGCCGCAGCAGGTGGATTACTTGGGACCAGGAGTTCGAGACCAGCCTGGCCAACATGGTGAAACACCGTCTCTACTAAAAATCCAAAAACTAGCCAAGTGTGATGGTGTGTGCCTGTATTCCTAACTACTCGGGAGGCTGAGGCAGGAGAATCCCTTGAACCTGAGAGGCAGAGGTTGGAGTGAGCCAAGATTGTGCCACTGCACTCCAGCTTGGGCAACAGAGTGAGACTTTCTCTAAAAAAGAAAACAATAGCCTTACTGCTTTACTGCTGATACCGTGGAGAAAGTCTTAGTGGCCTAGATAGAAGATCAAATCACCAACAACATTCCTTTAAGCCAAAGCCTCATCCAGAGCAGGGCCCTAACTCTCTTCAATTTTGTGAAGACTGAGAGGTGAGGAAGCTGGAAAAAATTCTTCACCATAACATAAAAGTGCAAGTAAAGCAGCAAGTGCTGATGTAGAAGCTGCAGCAAGTTATCCAAGTCTAGCTAAGATTACTGATGAAGACTGCTACGTTAAACAACAGATTTTCAATGTAGGTAAGACAGCTTTCTATTGGAAGAAGATGCCATCTAGGACTTTCATAGCTAGAAGCTTCAAGGGACAGGCTGACTCTCTCATTAGTGGTGAATGCAGCTAGTAACTTGAAGCCAGTCCTCATTTACCATTCCAATAATCCCAGACCCCTTAAGCATTATGCCAAATCTGCTCTGCCTGTGCTCCGTAAATAGAACAACAAAGCCTAAATGACAGCACCTCTGTTTACAGCATGGTTTACTGAATATTTTAAGCTCGCTGTTGAGACCTACTGCTTAGGAAAAAGGATTCCTTTCAAAAACTGCTCATTGATAATGCTCCTCATCATCCAAGAGCTCTGATGGGGATGTACAAGGAGGTGCATATTGTTTACATGACTGCTGACACAACATCCATTCTGGAACCTATGGATCAAGGAGACATTTTGACTTTCACATTTTATTATTAAGAAATAACATCACCTAAGGCTATACTTCCCATGGATAATGATTCCTCTGATGGATCTGAGTAGTCAATCGAAAACCTTCTGGAAAGTATTCTCCATTCTAGATGCCAGTAACAATTGTAATTGATAGGAGGAGGTCAAAATATAAACATTAATAGGAGTTTAGAAGAAGTTGATTCCAACAGTCGTGGATAACTTTGAAGGGTTTACGACTTCAGTGGCAGAATTAACTGCAAATATGGTGGATATAATATGCAAGAAAACTACAATGAGAGTGGGCCCTGAAGATATGACTGACTGAATTGCTGCAATCTCATGGTAAAACTTGGATGGGTGAGTAGTTGATTCTTACGGATGAGCAAAGAAAGTGGATTCTTGAGATGGAATCTACTCCTGGTGAAGATGCTGTGAACACTGTTGAGATGGCAATGAAGGATTTGGAATATGATATAAACTTAGTTGGCAAAGCAGTGGCAGGGTTTGAGAGGGTTGTCCCTGTTTTTGAAAGAAGTCTACTGGCCGGTGCTGTGGCTCACGCCTGTAATCCCAGCACTTTGGGAGGCGGAGGTGGGCGAATCATGAGGTCAGGAGATCGAGACCATCCTGGCTAACATGGTGAAACCCTGTCTCTACTAAAAATACAAAAAGTTAGCTGGACGTGGTGGTGGGCGCTTGTAATCCCAGCTACTCGGGAGGCTGAGGCAGGAGAATGGCGTGGAACTCGGGAGGCAGAGGTTGCAGTGAGCCAGATCGCGCCACTGCACTCCAGCCTGGGCGACAGAGCGAGACTCGAAAGAAGGAAGTCTACTGTAGGTAAAATCCTATCGAGCATCACGTGCTACAGAGAAAAACCTTTTCTGAGACGGAGTCTCACTCTGTTGCCCAGGCTGAAGTACAGTGGCACAATCTTGGCTCACTGCAGCTTCTGCCTCCTGGGTTCAAACGATTCTTGTGCCTCAACCTCTCGAATAACTGGGATTACAGGCATGTGCCACCATGCCCGGCTTTTTTTGTATTTTTAGTAGAGATGGGGTTTTGCCATGTTGGCCAGGCTGGTCTTGAACTCCTGACTTCAAACCATCTGTCCATCTTGGCCACCCAAAGTGCTAGGATTACAGGTGTGAGCCATCCCCCCACCCCACCTGCCTCCCACCCCGCTCCCCACTGCTAGCAATCTTGGAATGTTTTAACCAGAAACAAGGAATGCCTTTCCCTTTCTTCAAGGCTACTTCTGGGTATTTATTTTTACATTTTATAACTTGGTAGTTTTCTTTGTTAAGTATTCATCTCTAACAAAAACAACAGATTTATAAATTTTATTGAAAAATACCATATTTTTCACCATAAATGTAGAAGCCATTTTGGACTCTTATTTCAGCCTGAAGCTTTAAAGCATATCCAGAATGTTTCTTTTCACTTGTAATCAGGCAACTGAGTAGATGCAAGGTTTAAAGAACCCTTCTTTTTTTTTTTGAAATGGAGTTTCGCTCTTGTTGCCCAGTCTGGAGTGCAGTGGCGTGATCTTGGCTCACTGCAACCTCCGCCTCTCAGGTTCAAGCGATTCTCCTGCGTCAGCCTCCTGAATAGCTGGGATTACCTGTGCCCGCCACCACACACCCAGCTAATTTTTGTGTTTTTAGCAGAGACAGGGTTTCATCATGTTGGCCAGGCTGGTCTCGAACTCCTGACCTCAAGTGATCCACCAGCCTCAGCCTCCCAAGGTGCTGGGATTACAGGCATGAGCCTCTGCGCCTGGCCACCCTTCTTTTTTCTAATGACTGTATTTTTGGGGGAGAAGGAGTGGGGATACCAATAGGTATACCAGTAATTAACCACACTTGAAATGGTCATTGCCATCACAGAAACTTCCATCTGTAGCTAGTACCTGATTGCAGGGAAGTTAAATAGTAGGACATATCATATTCAAGAACAGATGTTTAGGATTTGCTGGAATCCATTCTTCCTAACCCTTTTAGTACTCCTGAGTGGGTACATTTCCACCAGTGGCCAGATTCTAATTTGCATTGGCATGGAATGTAGAACTGGAATTAATATCTTGGGTAGGTGGCAGCAGCAGCTCTCTGCCAGGATATGTTACAGGCTTGCTTTCTTTGTGAACATGTCTTGATGGATACTAAGAGATTGTTGTGGCATTTGCCTTGCTAGGGAATAAATCTTTTTGTGGCTTTTCGATTTTTAAATTCATTTATGGCTACCCATCACCTAACAAACTCTAGAGATCTGAAAAGAAGAGTATGTAGTTTACAAATGAAAGTAAAGGCGTCTTTTAGCTTTTACGTCTTTCACTGAGTTTGAATAAATCACCTAGAAAATTTTCCATAAAAGAGATGAGAAGTTTTGAGTCATTATTTAAATGTATTATAACATTGGAGTTTTAAGAAAAAATTTGTTTTACATATTAAATTTAAATTTCAACTGTTAAAGTATGTTATAACAACATTAAATTATTAAACGAAAATGACTCTAGGTTCACAAGTTTGGGTAAATCCTGACTATACTGTGTTTTAATTGAGTAACCTTGGGGAAATGATTAACCCCTCCAAGTTCCCGTTTCTCTTTAAACAGGGAATGATAGCGTAGGTAGTACATTCTATCATTGTGATGAGTAAATGAGGTAATTCTTGTCATGCGGTTAGCACATGCCCAGCTGTTACAGTCCTCTCCCCTGGCCTCTAGTAATACTCATTTAATAGCTGTTATCTGCTGGGTGTGGTGGCTCACGCCTGTAATCCCAGCACTTTGGGAGGCTGAGGCGGGCAGATCATTTGAGGTTAGGAGTTTGAGACCAGCTTGACCAACCTTGGTGAAACCCCATCTCTACTAAAAAATACAAAATTTAGCCGAGTGTGGTGGCGGGTGCCTGTAATCTCAGCTACTTGGTAGGCTGAGGCAGGAGAATTGCTTGAACCCAGGAGGCGGAGGTTGCAGTGAGCAGAGGTTGCAGTGAGCTGATATTGCGCCACTGCACTC